TCACTGTGCCTCATGTGGAGGCATCTACTGGCGAAAGTGATGGTAAAACTAAAAAGCAATATTCTTGTCCGCATCAAGGCTGCCCGAATCGGTACAAGCAGCTCAGTGGACTCCGTTATCATCTAACCCATGTAAGGTTGACTTTATGCAATATCCTGAACCTAAGTCTAACTAAATATGTCAGGGCCACCCTACGGATCTTCCGGTTCAGCTGGATTTGGTACCTCCTGCCCTGAGTCGCAAATTGGCTGAGAAGATGCGGAAAGATGGCACTGGCTCACAACCCCCTGAAACACATGCGCACAAACCTCTTCCGGCTTCCACCCCCTCGCAGAGCTGCTCTCCTGGACATGAATCCGCATAATGCGTGGGCCCCTGACTAAAATCAGTGTGGACCTGAATCGCGTCGATATTTTACTGGTCTCGTAATTGCCACCTGACCCCCAACATACGTTGGCCCTGTTGATCGATTTGGTATTATCTTTCGCCTTGTTGAATTATTAGGTGTATCTTTATTGCTTTCAGTTGCTTTTCGTCTGTGCTCTTCCTCACATCGCTCGGTTTTTTATGGCTTTTTCCTATCAGCCCGCCATTCGTTTGCATCGCAGATATTTACCGCGTACTTGTATAATGGCTATATGTAATATTTGATGGTGATCCCATCGTCCCTAATTGTATCTATACACAGTTCGAGCTGGCAACATGTACATTTGCGAGAGTGTAACAAAGGCATGAATCCATTCAGTAAGCGATTATCCGTACATTAATGTTCAGCATAAGCTCGCTATCTCAAAACCCCGTTTAATCACCTTCCAGCTCCAAATTGGCCAGCGCTGTAGTATACAGGTAAGATCAAATTTACATGACGAACGGGTAGAGATCGACTTACAGATTCCTCAACTCTGGATCTGCCATAAGTTCTTCCATAGACGGCGCGGCCCCGCCAGATTGCATACGATTCATCTAATAAAAAAAAGGTCGGAATGGTGTATACAAGAGAGGGAAAACGCCTACCATGTTAGCAACATTTGGATTCGACATAAGCCTTTCCATTCCGCCGTTGGCCATCATTTGTTGTGCCATTTGCATCATCATGGGGTTGTTCATGAGGCTAGCAAGATCGGGCATGCCGCCTGCCCCACCCATTCCTCCCATGTTGCGGAACATGTTTGCCATACCACCCAGTCCGCCTGCACCACCCGCACCAAAACCAGCAGGCGCATCTGATGGAATATCTCCTTCAGGTACGAGTGGTGGGGGGCCATCGTCATCATCTTCTTCTTCAGAAGGAATGTGGTCCAGAGCATTTTGTAAACCAGATTTCAGGTTGGCGTTTGTGGGGTCGAGCTCGACTCCCTTCTTGAATGCGGCAGCGGCAGCTTTGTAGTCTCCCAAAGTGTATTGCGCGTGCCTAGCGGAGTGGAATGAGATCGAATGACGTGGAAATCAATAGTAGATACACACCCTAAACGAGAGTAAGCCTTGACGAATTTAGGATCGACTTCGATGGCTTTTTCAGAATCGAGGATTGCGGATGCATGATCGCCTTTGCTAGCGTATGCGGCTGCTCTGTTAGAGTAGTAGACGGGATTGGCAGAGTCGAGCGCGATAGCTTTGGTGTACGCGTCAATGGCTTCGTCATACTTCTTACTTGACATATGGGTATTCCCCGTTTGCTTATGTTTCTCAGCCTTGGCCTTTGCTTCTGCTGAAGGGGCAGAGGGTGTAGATGCAGATGCTGGCGAAGATGTTATTTTATCTCTTGTTTTCAAGAATACATCGAATATGGTCTGTAGCTTCGCTGGTTTAATGTCCAGGCGTTGCCGCTGCTTGTCGTCCAGCGGATCGACACCAAATGCCTCGCCGATGCATTGAACTGCGTGAATACGCGTACTCGATGAGCCACGGCACGTAAAAGAGATGAACAAAGACATAGAACGTACTGGCGACTTCAAGACCTTCCCTGTCGTCTTGCTTAACAGTGCCATCATCTATGGATTGGTTCAAAAAGTCGATTATGGACAGGACGAGCTGCTGCTTCTTGTCCGCCATGTTAGTGGTATCCGAAGATCTAGTATGTCGCAAATAAGGATCAACAAATGCTTGCAACTCATGAAGACTTACTTAGGTCTTCGTTGATATAGGCAGCCATGTTTTTTTGTAGTATCTCTGGCGAACCTCCTCAGGACCCGGTCATTTCTACAAAATCTGGCCAAGTCTACGAACGTCGGTTGATTCTGAAATACATCAATGACAATGGCACCGATCCGTTGACGGGGGAGAAACTCGAGGAATCCGACTTGTTGACCATCAAAGCCAGTGAGTTTTTTTTCTCATTTTTCGCTTTTTCTCCTAGCAGCATGTACCGTTCTTTTTTTTTTCTTTAATGTTACAATCTGAAGATTCAATTCAAACTTGCTAATCCATGTCTACCAGACCCCAAAACAGCGCCACCACGACCTCCTGCCGCAACTTCTACCCCTGCTCTATTGCATATGCTTCAAAATGAGTGGGACGCTTTGGTATTGGAGATGTTTGCCTTGAAGCAACAGTATAACTCCACTCGCCAGGAGCTAAGTTATGCTCTATATGCACAGGATGCTGCCAGTCGCGTCATCGCGCGTCTCATAAGAGAACGCGATGCTGCCAGAGAGTACGCGCTTTCTAAGCATGCTCTTAATTACATCACGCTGACGCGTCCTGTCCTTATTTCAGAGCTCTGGCTAATGTCCAGGCGACTATGGGAATCGCTCCAGCAAGCGGTGCGGCTGAAGACGTAGAAATGGCTGAGGAAAATGGTACTCAAGAGGGTGCTCTCCCCAAAGAGATCGTCGACCAGATTGACGAGACTCAGCAAAATCTTTCTGCTACCCGCAAAAAGCGCAAAGCTCCAGCCGGTTACACAAGTACTGCAGAAGTGAAGACATTCGTTGCAACACATACCGTCCCGTCGTTACACTCAGCCTCTCCTGCTGGAATGACTTCTCTTGCCGTATCTCGTCTTAACCCGTCGCAGTTCCTTACGGGTGGTAACGACAAGATTGTCCAGCTGTACGATAGAAGTACAGACAAGGTATTGGCCTCCCTCAAAGGTCACACGAAGAAAGTCAACCACGTCGCTTTCCGCGAGCACGAGGGTGAACCGACTTTGATTTTGTCTGCCGGTGCAGACAAAATCGCCAAAATCTGGGCGCATGATAGCGCCTCTAGCGAGTACATACCAAAAGCAACCATTCGGACGCACAAGGGAGAACTCACTGGCCTCGTCGTGCATCCTACGAACTCTATCTTTGCATTGTCTTCCCTCGACAAAACATATTCGCTCCATGAACTCTCCAACTTTACCCAGGTGTACCGGTCAGCCCCCGGAGAAGATGCTTTCACATCACTTGCAATCCATCCTGACGGCGCTCTCCTTGCACTGGGTACTCCCTCATCCAAGATCCAAATATCTGACGTCCGCTCCGGTAACATAGCTGCATCTATCACACCACCAGATGCCTCGCCTTTCACCGTCAATTCACTCTCATTCTCAGAGAATGGTTACCATCTCCTCGCTCCCGACAGCCCCTCTTCCGTCGCCATCTGGGACCTGAGGAAGATGAAAACTGCACACACCATTCCGCTCGGGGAAGGGTTCAAGGTCAACAAGGTATTGTACGACTACAGCGCACAGTACCTAGGAGTCGCAGGCAGCGAAGGCATCTGTGTGTTTGCTCATAAGTCGTGGGATGAGCTTGTACGTTTCGAGGAGGCGGGAGATGTGTCCGATATGGTGTTTGGAGAGCAGGGCAAGGAGATCTGGGCTACGAGCGGAAGGGAAGTCAGGATCTGGGGTTTACCTGCTTAAATGTATGACTTTTCTTGTTCTCATCAATATTATTCGTGCTGTGTTCCATTGTGCCGTTGTGCTGGCTTTTCATACTGTCCGTGACTGTCTGCAATCTTCAGTGCAATATTTCTCTTGTGGTCGAAGTGTGCTTTTATATTCATCTAGCGCACACTCGTTGTGCCTTCGGCATAGGAAGCAGCTTCAAAGTCTAGAATATTATGGTGCTTGGAAACAGGTTGGGTGTGGCCATGACTGAATGCTACATGCAAAATCATTAGAGAATGCTTTAATCAATGAGGTGGGAGGATGCATGGAATTGATCATATGCCTACTAATGTGCTGGTCCAAGGGTATGTCCGCATCACAAGCCAACGACTGGACCGCTTGGTGCAGCGCTCGGGCCACTCCTCGAGAATCCATTGTGCCATCCCTGCAAAAGTTTTTGTAGAATGCCTCGACTAAGTGCTGCACAGTACTAGCAGGACATTATGGACCATCAACAAGAGTATCATCAACCACCTCTCGATTCCTTGAATAGCCAATCCTGTTACAAGAACATCTAGATGCTTGGGCCCCTACATCAGTAAATTCACTAATTCCTTAATTAGCTTTCCTGCCGCTTGCCATCAATTATTTTCCCACAAGAAGCAGTTAAGTCCTTGGCAAGGGCGGTAAAAACCACTTGCCGCAAGTTCAACAAGTAGATCCCTCCTCTTGTTTTGCACTTATTTTTTACTTATTTCCACTTGCTCGAGCTTATGCCCACTTGGTTCATGAAAAAAACAGTGGCAAATACTGCATTTATAGCGAGACAAGCGGACAAGTTAATTTAAAGTGAGAGCAAGTGACAGTCAAGTACTGGTAAGTAGCAGAAAGAAACATTAAAGAGCGGGATAGTGACGGTTAGTGACGGTTTAAAATGCGTGAAACTATTAGTAGTAGTAGTGGTGACGAGGGAAGGGCGACGAGGGAAAGACGACTTGGAGCAACGGGAAAATGAGTGAATTGGAGCAGCATGGAGATAAGCTTTGAAGTGGCTACTTGAGCAGAGAGACGGCGACACGAGGGAGTAGTCCTAACATCATGACACTGCAGGAAGAGTCATAATACTACTAGTAGTCAGTTGTGAGACATGAAATGACAAAAAAAAGAACAGTACCACTGACAACTAGCAGATGAGCGCGCGCTCATCTTCTGATTCCTCATCCACCTTTTGTGCACCATGCCTCTTTGTGCCAAGGTTCTGAGCTCTCTCCCACATCTTCCTAATGACCAAGTCTCCTGTGCGAGTGATGGATATCATGTATGACCTAGTGGGCTCACCCCAGTTGACATCCGAAAATGCCAAAAGAGCACTACTTTCATTGCCCGATGACTTGTTGTGCTTCTGGGGGGCCTTGGAAGCCCTTCCTCAACCGTTGATTTCAATGTAACTCAGTAGAAAGCCCTCGTTGGCAAAAAGTGTGATTGCGCGTTCCATCTAAAATAAAGAATGAGTCAACTGTATAAAGATATGGTGGAGATACCTGCCGCCAAAGTGGTGAGGGCAAGCACCCGCTTCGCATGTCCCAATGTAGTGAATCCTGGCACAACGGCGAGAGCACCAGAAATAGCACAGTGATGTTGCGCAAGCACCTGCACGATAAGGTCAGATTGAAATGGTTCTGTGTGCTTACTACCATCCTCCTTAATTGTCCCATACAAGAACGCGCTCTTGATAAGTAGGCACGCAGAAAATTGCTGGCGGTCTTCGTCAGTCTCGAGATCAGGCTGTGAGCGTAGGAATGTTGCAAATACAACGAGGGCAGTGGTGCTGATGCTGTTGCGCCATTCTGACAACCGCTGAAGGGCCTGTTAAATATCTGGTTTCAGGGCTCAGATATGAATTGGGCTTAAAGGCACTCATCTCCACTGGCCATACTCTGTTCAGAGGTCGCCGAGGGCTTTGCAGCCTTTGCTATGGGGCGAGCACGGGGACGTTTAGGTTTCGGTGCATCAACACGTGCAGCAGCTTGGTCCATTGCCATCTGTTCCTGGAGAGTTGCTATATGCTGATGCCCTTTTTGTGTAGCTTGTTCACTTGCCTGGTTTGCCTCCAGTTCGCGCTGTCGGTCAGCCATCATTTGAGCTTTGGTACATCTCTTTGCATGACCTTCAGCCTCGAGCACAATGCGTCCTGGATGCTGAGTTGCATTTTTAGGACGGGTTCCCATACGCTGCGAAGCTGGCTGAGACATTTGTTTGATGTACGATTTGAAGACTAAAGGTATTGGAGGGTAGTGGTGACGAGTTGAACATGAGTCTTGTCACTCTTTTGAAAATTTCTGGCCTAGAAAGCTGACTCTGAATACGACATTGACCCTAATGTACTCTTGGCTAGTGCTACCAATACAAGTACTACCACTAGTTATATTACAGATTTTGGTCTGCCGACTTTGGGAGCCTTCAAGTGGTTTTGTTTTAGTCCGACAAATGAAAATTCACCACAACCGTTTCGGTGTAACATCAACGTTTACCAGAACTTTTGGTATAATATTGATGTTCACTAAGGTGAGTTGGCCAAATTTTGACCTTGACAACGGCACTAATTTGGGGGATATTGTTTAGGTTTGGTATCAGCGCTAAACTTCACAGCCCAGGCACTACACTTCCTTGTATCCCATGTTACAACTACCCCGTACTATGCCTCAAGCTTCTGGTCGCCATGCTCACAACCTCTTTCGGTTTGAGTGTCCAGCTCCAAATTGCACGTGCTGGTTCAAAAATTGCTCAGGTCTCACACAACATACGAACACATACCACCCCATAAACAATGTCACACCAGCTCCAGGACCATGCCCTCAAGATGTCCCTCTACCACCCCAGCCATCACCTCCCCCTCGAGAATTTGTGTCGCCCCCTCCTGATTTTGACCCCCTACCCCAGTCATCACCTCCGAGGTATTCCAGCCACAGACCAACAGTCGATGACGAGGGAGATGAAGAGACTGTGAGACCAACAATTGATGACGAGGGAGATGAAGAGGCTGAATTCATGGATCCCAGTGGGCGATACTATCGCTGAAAGACGCACCTGATTGTGTCCGAGATGTTGGTTTAGATGACGAGATTAGAGTTTTAGATCTTAGTGGTAGTAGTATATTGGCAATGTTATGTTGCTTGCAATCAACTTGCAGTGCTTGTTTTGGCTTGATCTTGCTTGTTGTTCTTGCGCTGCTTGTTGCCGATTGAAAACCATGTGCTTCCTTAATTCAACTTATCAAATAAAAAGCCAAGTGAATATATTTAGCTAAGTCAAAATTAAGTGCGGCAAGCGGCGGGAAAGCTAATTAAGGAATTAGTGAATTTACTGATGTACCATTTTTCTCCTCATCTTACTCATCTCAGCCCTCTCATCACATCCTTACCCCAACCTTGCTCTTGTCATCCTTGTCATCCTCACATTCCTGTTCACTCTCTACCTTTCACTCCAGCAAAGCCAGTACATCTGGCCAGACCCTTTCTCAGACAAAGCATATCCATGCTCCATTTCACCCAATGACTGATCCTGTGGACAGTCCCCTTAACCCTTACTATCTGGACGGTAACCTATGACATGATGCATACTGCATCCCTTTGCCCTGTTTCCTTTTCTTGTTCTATGACTCAGTGTGCAGTCGCACATTGTACTTATACTTAGATCTGCAGTTGCATGATTGTATTGGAAACAGAACAAGTGCGCCCGCAGCCAAGGTGCAATGTCATGTGCTATTACCTTCATTCGTTATACCCAGTGGCCCGTATATTTCTCATTGTTCCGCTCTTGTTACACTGACTCATCATTATACTTACTGATACTATTGTTTGCTATGGCCAGTGCCATTGTATTTGTCTCAACTACCTACTCACTTGCACAAGAGCGTGTAAGGTATTTAGTTAGCTACAGATTCATCCCAACACCTCAGATGTTTGCCTTCGCATGCAATGACTGAGGTAAGATACCTATATTTCCGTTTACTTACTTTCACTTATCTAAAGCAGAGTGTCTGCTTGTTTCAGACCCGTGTGATTGTATTAATCCTCCAGATTGTGCCCCTGCTTGTTTCACTTCCTATTTCTGTTCTTTGACTCATTCTGCAGTTGTATGTTCTGGTTCGCCAATGACTCACCTTGAACATGCTTCCTTTTTTAGTATTACCCTTTGACCACTCCTTCTTCTGGCAGTACGAGTTACCATTCACTGATACGCATCGTTCCCCTCTATATAAACTCGCTGTCATGTAACTAGTTCTCTAATTTGAATCTACTTGGTTCTTGACCTCCTACTCTCATCAGAGTGATTCCTTCAGCCTAGCCAGCTGTCTATCTTCTATCTTCTTATCTGCTCATTGCAGATAAGTCTTTAGTCTTGATTTCTACTCATCAACTTCGTTGTTGAGCAGAACCCCTGTTAACTAGTCAGACTTCTGTCCTTCTATTAATGCAGATCTTATGATTAACCTTCAGGTGTCGTAAGCCTTGGCAGATATGCTTATTGTCAAGTTCCCACTTGACATAAGCCACCCGATTTGGACATAGGTGTTAAACCTTGCTTGCCGAAGCCTCACTAAGCAAGACCCCCTAACCTTGGGCCAGCCCAGGGACATCCTCGACCATTGATGACACACACTCTGTTTGAGCATCGCCAACAGACACTATTCAAGTTCGTAACAGATCCTAGGCAAGTTTTTATTTTCTAACAATAAAAGGAACAAGGCTTAGAAGACACCAATGAATCAGAAACTGAGTGACTGCAGTGATAATCAAATACACAGCCAGCGACGAAACTTTATCTTCCTAATCTCCAAGCTATCCTCCCTCTCTATGTCGAAATCATCATTGTAGAAGATAATGAGAGAATTGATTGTTCCTAATGTATATGCATTGTTACGGACTTGGATAGTATCTGTTGATGATGCTCAAACAGAGCGTGTGTCGTCAATGGTCGAGGACATCCCTGGGCTAGCCCAAGGTTAGGGGTCTTACTTGGTGAAGCTTTGGCAAGTAAGATTTAATGCCTATGTCCAAATTGGGTAGCTTATGTCAAGTGGGGCTCAACGATAAGTGTATCTGCCAAGGCTTATGACACCCGAAGGTTAATTGTAAGAGCCTGCATTAATAGAAGGACAGAAGTCCAACTAGTTAACAGGGGCTTTGCTCGTCGATGAAGTCGATGAGTAAAGATTGAGACTAAAGACTTATCCATGATGAGCAGATAAGAAAGTAGAATATAGGCTGCTGGCTAAGCAGAAGGAATCACTCTTGTTAGGAGTAGGAGGTCAAGAACCAAGTAGATTCAAGTTAAGGAACTAGATACATGGTAGAGAGTTTATATAGAGGAGAGGAAGCATATTAGTGGATGATAACTCATACTACCAGAAGGGGAACTGGTCAAAGGGTGATACTAGAAAAGGAAGGCATGTTCAAGGTGAGTCATAGGCGAACCGGAATGTGCAGATAAGAAATGAGTCAAAGAACAGAAACAGGAAGTGAAACAAGCAGGGCATGATCGTGCGACTGCGGAGCTAAGTATAAGTACAATGTGCAACTGCGCACCAAGTCATAGATCAAGAAAGGAAACAGGGCAAAGGGGATGCAGCATGCATCATATCATAGGTTACCGTCTGGATGGTAAGGGTAAAGGGGACGTCCACAGGATCAGTCAATGGGTGGAATGGAGCATGGGTATGCTTCGTCAGAGAAAGGGTCTGGCCAAATGTACTGGCTCTGCCGGAGCGACAGGTAGAGGGTGAAGGGGAATGCGAGGATGACAAGGATAACAAGAGCAAGGTCAGGGTAAGGGTGTGATGCAAGGGCGGAGACGAGGAAGATAAGGAGAAAAATGGTAGGGGCCCAAGCATTTAGATGTTCTTGTAACACGTATCTGTATTGTGGTCAAAAAAGGGAGGGACAGTCCCTAATGCAGAGGTCTGGATAATAATTATCAGGAGAAGGTGAATGATGCTTTCTGGCCTTGCTACTTGTGATGCTAGTTCATGACCATGACCACTCCTCTATGACAATAATGAAGGGACACTTTAGCATGTGAGGACTATAACAACGGACCCGACTCACAGTTTTTTGAAGAGGTTTGTAATGATCTTGTTCCTGTGGCACCTTAGCATTTTGGCTTGCAAGTTTGACGTTCATGACCATAGCTCAGGTCTTTTGTAACATAGTTTGGGTCACTTGTAACATCATGTGGTTTTCATTTATCGTTGCTTGTATTTCATTCAATCTTGTCATGACATTAATAGGTCTCACTGTTTCCATCGCATCTACATTGTGATTAGTAAACCTTGGGTCCAGCATATTGACATTGACTGATGATACCGAGCATGGAGAGACTTGGGATGCCAAATAGGAGGTACAAGTGCAAGGGATATGTCGGGGGCGGGAGGAACAGAGAAGGAGCTGTTGACATCGGGACCAATAGGTCCAAGTTAAAATTTCACCTGCCTAATTATCAAAAACACGAGTGTCTCAGTTCTTTTCAGCAACTGAGATGTGAGTCTATACCTTTATTGTTAGCCTACACATAACTGACTTAGCGTAGCATTTTCTTACCTGTTAGGTATACACTTCGTCAATAAAGAGTTCTTTTCAGAGACTGAGACCGTTTTCTTACCTGTTAGATCTTGTCCGCTCTACCTCTAGTCTCGTGCCAAAACGAGGACTTATGAATGGTGTACAGTGCATGAGCTCTGTTTTTCGCAGCTTTGATATGCATGTGAGACACTGCTGGAATTATACCTGAATTGAATTCATTGCAAACTGAAGCAATGTGAACTGAAGCTACATTGACTTACAGCTCAGAGGCTCCAGTTTCTGTACAGTTGTCGGAAATTTCTGAGTCTCATCTTAATGCTTTGTAATACTTTGTAATGCCACAATGACAACACAGCCATGGCAATGGGAATGCAATGTAAGCCCCATTTTGAAATGCTGACAGGTGCCGATGGTAATGCCGGTGGCAATGTGGCGCCAATTGCTGCCAATGCCTATTGTAATTTTCATTGTAATGTTGAATCTTATGTTATTGCAATTGCATTAAAATGAGGCTACGGTCCATGGGAATGATATTGTGACTATGAGAATCTGCTATTTATTATTATCAACTGTCTACAATGTTTTCATATTTATTACTATCTAATCATATCATATTACATTATCTATCTATTACATTATTACACTATTTTACTTGCACTTAGGTTGATTCG